GATTGATTGATTGATTGGAATGATTTTCAGCTAAGATGATTAGTTGACTTTTATCAAATTCAGTGGTGATTATCAATTTTATCGTTAATTGTTTAAATCACTAGGATTTAAATATAACTACACTTTCATCATCTTCACAGTAACACATCATTGAATTTATTAACCACAATTGTAGACTTTATGATTATAAAATTGATTCAGTTTGATTGTTTGATCTAATTGTTTTGTCAACTTGATTATGCTGATCAAGTTGAAATTTAATCAGTTATCAATGAACAGTCAAAAAGGATAACATCACATTGGTAAAAAATCAACAATCATTTTGGATGCTGGTCAAAAACTGGTTGATAAAAACAATCTCAGTTAATTTAGACATTTTCAGTTGATTAATATAATAAGGTTAATGGTGATGACAGTTAACTAATTGTGATGGTCAAACTGACCGAATGAAAAACATGAAAGAAAAACAAATTATCTTCTCATTGGTGTTTCAAGTCAACGGTTGATAAAAGGATAAGGATGAGGATGGAGATAAGATGAAGATGCCTTGGAGTAAATTGGATAATATTTTTCTCTTCCTATGGTAAATAATAAGGGAAAATAGTTTCTCTTCCTTTTCTCTTCCTTTGGTTCATCATTTTCCTCTTTCTTTATTTTCTCGAACATCGATTCTCTTTCTTTTCACATTTTCGACACAAAAACCTCGAAGCTTGATCTTGCGCACTCGATAAATCGATTCATCGAAATCGAATTTCAAAAAGAAAGACAGAGAGAAAGGGAGAAAATCATTTGAAGATGAGGATGATGAGGATGATGAAGAAAAATTCAAGAGGGATGATACGGAAGAGAGAGAGAGAGAGATAAAGTTACTTGATGAATATCAATGGGATTTATCATCCATAACCAAAACACATCGAGTTTATTATTGTTTGAGTATCAAAAGTTAATTGTTGGGTTAATGTTTCAAATTAAATCTAATATATTGATCATTAATTAATTATTAACCATTTGGGTTGTCATGTTTTATCTGTGTATTTCTTGTTGTTGTTAAAAGTTATGATTTAGTAATTGTTATGGAAAATTATTATATCGGTTAAGGTTGTTGAGTAAATTAAATTGTTTAATAATTACTATTGAAAACAAATTAACAATCAAAATTTTGGTTATTATTCATATATTATGATTAAAATAATTAATACATATAAGTAAACAATTGTGATCACGAAATAATTAACCAAATTTTTGCTACAAGTTAATCTTGTTAATCAACAATAGAATTGAATTAAAAAGTCAAACAATCAAATTTAATTGAATGTTATTAAAACAGTTAAATTTTGATCACTTTTTGATTAATTTAATTCATTTCAATGTTAATTTGTTTACAACATTAAAACAGTTGATTACATAAACAAATCAACTGATTCCTTTTTTACAATTAACTTTTGCTACTTTGTTGAAATCGTGATAAACAATCAATTTAATTACGATGGATAAAAATTGATTAACACTTTCATGGTCAGGGAATTTATTAATATAATTACGCCTTTTATTTACCGTTAATCATGATCATGATTAAAGAATTACAATTCAACAACAATTGATTAACTAATTTCATTTAACTCATCATCTGTTATTAAATCATTTGCGACAATCAAGTAGTGATAACAAAGTGATTATATGATCAGAAATTATTTAATTGCAGCAATTAAATTGAATTTGCAAGCAACAATTAAAGATTCATCAATAAATAGTTGAATTAACTAATTAAAACTTAAAGGTAAGTTGATTAATGAACAAGAAAACTTCATTGGAAATCCATAGGTATCGATTAATTGTTGTAACAATTAAACATGATGACATTTGATTGTCTTAATTATCTTAAATGTTTCTATTAGATTTAGAAGGTTATTTATTTTCAAGTTCTTCCGTGATCACAAATTGTTGATTAACTTTAATCAATTTTAGTCTTAATTGTGATTTGATGATTACAGAATTTACAATTAATCAGTCTGTCTTTGTTAATCTAATCAATTGAATAGCATAAGTTAATTGTATTAATTGTAACGATACTTTGGTAACACTTAAGGTTATCAGGTTAACTTAACGATATTATCAACGATCAGTTGATTACCATTATAATTGAATCAACGATTAGTTAATAAGTGATAATGACAATCAATGTAATATTAATTAACTAAGTATCAAAGTGTTTATCTCCTTTTTGATACAATCAGTTACTTTCAACTTAATTAATTAACTCGTTCAGTTGATTTGTTGAGATATTAATAAATCATTGATGATAAAAGTGTTGAAACTTGGATTAATTGTTATGATTTAGCTCATCAAGATTGATTATAACAAAAGGATATAATTTATAATCATTGGGAATTGGATTATTTTAAAAAAAGGAAACGGAAACAAATCAATCGTAGTTAGTTAATCAATAGTTAATCATATTAATAATTAAAATAGTTCAACTTAACATGTTGAGTACAAAAGTAAACATAAAGTTGTTGATTAAATATTGAATAAAAACAGATCATCGTTATTATTTAATTGTTGTGATTAACTGTTTGCAAAGATGTGATTAATTTGTAGGTTCAGAGATTAGTTTGAAATCAAATGATAACCTAAATTAATCTGATTAACTAATTGTTGTGATAAGTTTAACATTTGTCCTCAAATATTAGTGTTGTTTACAATTAGCAAACATTAACAATCAAATCAAGCCAATTGCAGGCAAAAATTGTTATAATTATAATTAATTGTTCAGTGAATAATCAAATAACAGTAACTGAATTATCAATTAATTGCTCTACCCAAAATTTTGCTATCATAATTATAATTGAAACAAAAAATGTTCACCCCTGGATTGTAACAATTAATATTAAAACTGTTTCTATCAATAGTAACGTTACAATTAGCCAGAAAGATATAATTAATTGTTGCAAGATAATTAACAATTAATAATCAAACAGAAAAAAATTTGATATGGATCAAAGATCAAGGTAATTTAATCTATTAATTGGTGAGTATTGTTTTAATTAAATTGATTCATTAACTGATCAGTTGATTGTTGATATTTACGATCAATTTTAAACGGTCACAATTTTAAATTGTGGACATTTTGATTGATTGCAAGTAATTAATCATCTTCAATATAATAATAATAATAAAATAGTAATCAGTTAATTGTATTATCATTATTACAATTAGATATCAAATAAAATTTTAGGCTATCAATAATGTATAAGATTAATAAATGATCATTTTAAGTAAATACAATCAATAAATCAATCGGAACAGCATATTGTGTTAAAATATGAGGCAAACAATTAACAATCAACAATTTAACAATGATAAAGATTGACAATCAAGTGGAAATTGTAAAATTCAATATTAACCATTAGGAAAAAAAGTTTTGATCGCATCAATGGATCAATCCAAGGATCACAATCAAAATAAAGTGAAAACCTTGTAACAATCAACGGTTAATTGTTGACAATTTCCAATGTGTGTTTAAATCAATTCATCAAAACAATTTACCTTGATTTCTTAAGACATTTCTTAAATTATTGTCTTTCTCTGAAATGATTAGAAACAAAATGAACAATTTAATTGTTGAGATTGTTAATTGTTAATTGTTTGGTGAAATTTTTGTTTCTTTCTCTCTGTTAATCAAGTTGATCTGGTAAATCTTTCAACACTATAAAATTGTTGCTAATTAACATGTGATGAAAAGTTAATTGCAATGGACAATCTGGGTAAATTTAGTTGGTTCATTTAATTTTACTTTTAATTAAATTGTTTGATGATAAAAACAGTAAACAATTAGTATTCATTGAGAACAAGGTTGATCAATAATATCACATTTGCTTTTGACTTATGGAAACATAGAGAGAGTAAAGATTTGATTTGGAAAAACCTTGGTTACATTGATTAACTAATAGACAAATGATTAAATCCTAATGGAAAATTAACTTTGGAATAATTAATTGTCACCTAGTGGGTTTTAATTGTATTCTGTCTTATGGTTGGAGTGAAAGTTATTTGTTTTCTTGTGTATCTATTGGTGTTTCTTGATTTCAATTAACATTGAATCTGAAAAAGTAACCTTCAAGTTGATGTTTTGTCTGAATATAAATTGTTGTGTTTCTAATTGTAATTAACGAGAAAATGTTAATTTAAACAGCCTACGAAGAAGATGATGATCAGTTTAGAAAATGAGTTAATTTTTTAGATTAATTGTTATTAGTTTAATCAATTATTCGCTTTTCAATTTTATATTTATTACCTTGTGTGTGTGTATATGAGAGACACTCTCAGGTAATTAATTAGTTTTCTTTTGATTGTATTGATAATCGTGCTAATTGATTTGCTACGGTCAAGGGATTTAGATTTTGCAAAATTATTGGAAATTATTAATATATATTGAGAGAGAGAGAGAGAGAGATTAGGAAGAAAATTGCTCAGGGCAATTTAACTGATTAACAATTAACAGTAGATTATCAATTCTCTTACCTCAACTAGATATTCAGGGATGAAAACATTAACCTGAATAAACTCCTCTTGAATTGGTGAGATTGAATCTTCATCAATATCACCGAGTTTATTGTAACAGGAACAATTTGAATCAGAGTCACAATTGTTGGAAATTGTTTCGTAAGATTCAAGATTAAGAGATGATATTTGTTGGTGAGATTGGTGATTATGGTTATGGTGATGGTGAGAATTATTGTTATGATGATTATCGTTGATTTGATTGGACAAATTTTTTTGAACATATAGATTATGATTGGAAGGTAATCTATTAATAGTATCATTGGTGGAATAAATTTTTGTCAATGATGATGATGATGAAGATGATGTTGGTCCTGGTTGTTGTTGTTGTGATGGTGGTGGCGGTGGTGGTTCTCCAGTGTCAACGATATATTGACTTGGTGGCCAGTCAAGGAGAGAAACACTTCTCATGGCTGTTTGTGGTTTAGAACGATTATAATTACCACTATAATAATTAGAGTACCGGTAAGGTAAACTTGGTTTAGAACTGAACAATTGGCTATCAATTAAATCCAAATCCAAAGGTTCGGGTTTCTCCTCAATGGTACTTTGACTTCTTGAAAGAAAAGAATTTCTATTTGAAGAAGAAGAATAAAAAGATTTGAACATTATGATAAATTGTAATGAGAAAAATTAACAAATTAAATATTAACAACAAGAGAGAAGAAGAAAAAAAATTCACATAGAGAAGAAAATTAAAAAACAAAACAAGCTAAATCAATGGAAATATAATCAATAAGATGAACGTTTTGTTGACCAAAAGAAAAACAGTTAACACAATTTGGATCAACTAATTAACTTAAAGAATAACAATTAAAATTAAGAAAAAATAACTAATTATTAGAGTTAATTAACAACAAGTTAAGACAAAAGTCGGTTTAATGTGTTCTCATTGAAAGTGAATAAACATTTGAAAAAAAAGATTAACGAATAAGAAAAGAGAGAAAAGAAAATTGTTCTAATTGGATAATAGATGGCGACACTTTCGAACACATGGTTTTCCTTTTTAAATTAATCGAAATCGCCATTACAATTAACTTTGATTTCTAATTAGTAGCTAATTATTTTTAGAATAAGTTTTTTTTTGTCTTTTTTTTTAATTAATCTGATCTTCTTCGCTTATGGGTTGATTGTTTTTAGAAATTGGAATTGGAGTTGATCTTAAAGCCTCAATGTTTTTTTAGGTTTTCTTTTGGCCGGTTGGTTGATTATCGCCTACATGAATTTGCTGTTTCTTTAATTGTTGTGATTTAATTTTGATGTTTCGATAATCAATTGATTATTTACTATCTATTCGTTGACTCCATCTTTGGACGTGATTTCTTCAGTTAATTATCCTCAATTTGATTTTCTAAATTCGATCAATTTAACTTTGATTTTCTTTTGCCTGTAAAATTGTTTTCCTCTTAATTATCCCAAGATCAGACAATTAACTAATCATGTTTAATCAAAAATACAATTGAATTGATTAAATCATCAATCCTATTATTTAAGATGATATTTTATCAAAATTAATTGTGATTAGGAAGAGGTGAGTTAACCTAATTGTTAACAACTTCCATCGGAAAGTTAACAATTTAAATTAATCATTTGACACTTTTCACCTTATATTGATCATTGGGTAATCTTAATTGTTTCAATTTTCGTCTTCTAATTATGAGAACTTAATATTTAATTAACTAACCAGTCGGAAAAGATTGTCAATTTGATTGATTGATTAATTGGTGGAAAAAAAAAGTTTCACTTGCACAACCAAATTAAGTAAATTGATTACAAACCAAATGAAAACATAATTAACATTCATTATTAACAGTTAACTAATTAACTTACTTTTAATTTATTAATTTTCTGTTTAATCAATTAGTGAACACCAATAGTAATTAAAACTGATTGAATTTAGAGAAAAATTTAACTTCAATCAGAATGATTATAACCAAAAGCTGAACAATCAACAAACTGTCAATCCAATTTTCAGAAGAAATCAATTGAATGGACAATCAATTGTGGTCAATCAATTAATTTAATTTTCAATTCTTCAATTGATTGTCAATGTTAATCGTCCATCAAAAATCTAGGTTGATTACGAATTGGACTTGATTGGCTTGATTGGATTTAGCAAACAATAAAGATCCAACTAAATGATTCCCTGAGCAATTTAACAAAAAGTTTCATCTCTATTCACAATCAAAGCTTCCTGAAGAAATGATTAACATCATCATCATCATCATCAACTAATTGTAGTGACAATAAATGATAATGATTATCATGATAATAACATTATAATAACGATTAGTGTATGAAATATATAATTCAAATACACAGACAATTATGATTTATATCATAACAATGGTGAGAAATTTGAAAAAATCCTATTATCATGATGATGACATTATCTCAATCAAATCAAGTTAATAACAATTACACTGATTGTTGGAATTGATAAAAACTGGTTGAAGTGATTTAGCCCTTAACACGAAATTTAAATTACCTACAAATCGCAGCAATTTATTAATTTAACAACAACAATTTGTTATCCATATTATGAAGATACAAGTAAAAGCGACTTGTATTGATTTAGTATATTAATTAAGCTTCAAATTAATTAATACAATTTAACTTATCAAATTGTTCATTATTTGTGAAACAATAATTGTTACATCAAATTGTGCCCGCAAGGAATTAACTTTTTTTTTTATATTTCTATGATTAACTAACTAATATATAGTTTGATTCAAACAATTTATTTTCATTACGAGTGTTAAGTAATCTTAATTAACGATGAAAACAATTTTCTTAATTGTTTCAACCCACAAACTCTTGATATCTGATTATCTCTATTATGATTAGTATTCAGTAGTGGGAAAGAGAGGCCAGTTTATTAACTAATTGTGTTCTCCGAGTAATTAATTGTTAAAAGAAAATGGCCAACAATTAATTCTCAACAATTAGAAGTAACTTTTTTTCTCCATCGAGATGAGAATACCTATTTTCTTATTAATTCATACAATCGATTAGTTAATTATAAGGGATTAGATTAAAATTCGATTCATAATTTAATCATAATTGTCTTGATGATATTAAGAAATCTAATTATGATTAATTGATTTTCTTCAAATTTTAATTGAATGAAAGATTTTTAATTCAATCATCGATCTTGACATTCTCTGAGTCCTGTAACCACATAAAGAGAAGATATTAAAAGGAAGACATGATTTAATTTCTCTTCTTTGTTAATCAACAATTAACTAGAAGAATTAATTTTAGATGATTATAAATCCATGGAATTAGCTGATTTCACCAGAATCAATCAAAATTATTCTCTATTTCTGTTTTATATCATCTGAATAATAATCGTTCCAAGGGTAAGTTTTTTTTTCCTGATGTTTACTTTTTCTCAATGAATTAAGTTTCTCATTTGTTTCTTCATATTTAACGATAATTGTTTGAATTGACATGATAAATTCTGATGATGATTATTATTCTGGTGACATGGTTGATCGATCAGGAAGGATTAAAGTGAAAAGAAAATCTTTTTGAACAACAAACAAGTCAATTCTTTTCCCATTGTGATATTTTTTCTTGGTGTGGTGGACATGACAAGAAGAAGTGGAAATCAAAGTCTACTGAGTTTTTTTATCAACAAGAATTTGTTCCTTCATGATACCTGTTGATATTCAGAGGGTGGGGAAACATTTGAGAGAGAAAGAAAAAACCATCAGATCAATTGAATGGAGAGAAGAGGAAAACAAGCTGATGGTCAGTCAATAGCGGGATCCAAAAGGTGAACAGTCTTTGATGGATGATGAGGAAGATTCTTCTTCTTTTTCCTCTCTCTCTTTTTGTTCAAAGAAATTCTACCAACATGATGATGTTCATGGAGAGTGTAAATTCAACGATGACTTGATTTATTCAAAAGTAAAAGTTGATTCTACCCTCCAGGTAAGAATTCCCTCTCTCCCTTCATTCATTTTCAGCTTAAGAACCTATTACTTATCATGGTGTCTTTTTTTTTCTTGCCTCTTCTCTTTCTGATCATTTCATCCACTGAACTTGATGATAATGATTTAATTTATTTCCGCATAATTGTGGCCTAACTGTTGGTGAATATCTTTGGAAATACCGTTGAGATACTCTAACAACTCACTTCTCACACTTTGTTCAGGCACTTTTCGGATAGAGAATGAATTTACTTCATGATTATTCAATAATCATCATGATACATCGTTAAATTGCACCTTAATCATTATCCACCTTCACTGGTCTCATCATAATCTAAACTTATTATTAATTGAGTTTCATTAATGGATAATGAATTTGCTTGATTACATCAATTCTGCGCCCACTTTTCAATCAGAATCTCTTGAAAGCAAAAGTAACGGTTTTCTTTCTGTATTGTTATTAATATACTTCATTAATTAGTCTGAATTAATCTCTCATTTTTTTTCACTTCTAACAATTAGTTTACCATTTCGTATCCTGGATAATTGATTCAACTCATTGACCGACAGATTAAGATCTTAAACAATTTAAATTGATGCCAATCAGTGATTAGTTAATTTTGACAAGTAAACTCAACAAGTTTAGCTCTCTCTCAGTTTCTGACTGATTAATCAATTGAATGTTACATTTTCAGGATATTAATTATTCAATTGAAAACTGTGAGATAATTTTTATTGATTGACAATCAATATGAAATCACCATTTACCCATCATCAATATTAAACAATTCTTGAAATTCAATTGATTTATTACAATTGAGAATAATCAAATTTTTCTACTTGATTAGTTGATCAAATGAAAATATAACAAATTTAAGCGTGAAAAAAGTATTCCGATAACTCAGATTAATGCCGGAAGAATCTGAATCTAAATCTGAATCTGAATTTTCACCGAAAAATGAAATGTTCAAAATGATTTAATCATGATGATGATGAAAGAATCAAGAATCAAGAAGCCAAAAGGAAATTGATAGTTAATCATTTACCATTGATACCATGTTGAAACTGGTAACCAAATGACCATGTTAATGGTCAGTTCATCTTACTACAATTATCTTCTCATACTATCGGTTAGTAATTGCTGACCATAATCACCATCCACTGACCAATCTACTGCCTTATCCATAACTAATCAATAATAATAACACTAAATCTTTGATTGTAATGATTAGAATTACAATCGTAATCAACTCACCTCCCTTCAAAAATTAATCTCTCCAGACCCACAATTACCTTAATCACCCACCACCTAAAATTATTTTCATTTTAATCATTGATTTGAATCTTTGATCACAATTAACTGTAGATTTTATATCAATTGTATTTCCCTATGTTCCCTTTAATGATTAATCATTTATAATCAATTTCTCTCTCCTTCTTTCTGTTCATAGGAATTTTAATCAATTCTGTAATCATCTTAATCATCATGAAGATAATCAAAATTCCTGATAATCACTTGATTAGTTATTACAATTGAATCTGAATGGATTAACAATGATTTCGCTGTTTTTTTTTACTATTATTATTTGATCTCTATGTTAGTCTTCAGTCATGATTGTAAGTTGATTGTTAACAATTAAATTACCAGGAAAACTATTTCATCTTCATCAAGCATTATGAATTATCAAACTGATTCAATTAAATTGTTTTCGCAATAGTTAATTGTTAACCAACGTGTACATATAGTTAGATTGTTGTTGTTCATTTACCCTCAGGGTAAATGCTTATGTTAAATAATCAAATGAAAGTTTAATATAATTTACATTTTCGGATTAATTTCATTAATGATTAGATATTATTTCATGTTAATTGTATGAGTTGAAAGTAATTGTCATACCCTTGATTGTGAGAGAAGAATTAATTAATTATCTCATCGTAATTGTCGAAAAAAAAATTAACTCAACTTTTACTTGGCTAACAAACTCTCACAATTCAATGTCATTAGAATGAAATTTAAAAGGTAACAACAATTAAATTTGTCTAATTGTAAATATTTCTAATTGTTGTTTGTTTGTTTCTCATCCCAATTGTAACAATTAACTGATTATCAAACGAAAACGAAGCTTTCAAGATAATAATATTTTTCTTATATCATTTGGATGCTACAATTTAAAAGAACACAATTAACATGAAGTCATTTTAATCAAATTGATTTATTCCTCTTCACAATTAAATCAATCTTACAAATTCTTTAATCTATTCAGTCAATTTAATATTTATCCCTTTTTTTTCATCATTTCTGCTTCCGGTTCATCATTGCTTCATCGTTCATGTTGCCATTTAATAGCAAAAAACAGTTTTTATGATTAGTTGATTCACTGAGAGTTGTATTTAGTTGGTGATTAATTGTACTGATTGTTGACCAACAACAATTTAAATGTTTTTAATGACCAAGATGATGAATAAATTTTGATAAATAACAAAATTCTGATGACCCATAGATGAGATTCATATGAGTTGTAGTTGAATTTTTTTTTCATCTTCACGCTTGTTGATGTAAATTTCATATTCTAATGATTGTTAAACTGACCAAAAGGATGAGGAGGAGATTCTTGGACTTTAATGATAATGATGATGATGATAAGTTGGTGATGTTACCATAAATTATAACAATATTAACCACTTTTAGGCGGAAGTACTTTTGATTTACTGTAAATTGTGGCCTTTTCATGAGTAAAAAATAGGATTAATAAAGCGAGGAGACTGGCCTGTAATCTATAAAAAGGTAAATTGTTATCCCCAATCAATTGAATTTGATTGTAACAATAGAGAGACTCTGACCCTTAGCAATCAATAAAATTAACTCTTTTCATCTTAAATAAGTTTGATGCAGATGCTTGATGATATAACGATAACCCAATGGACTTTAACTATTAGATTGGACCGATGATGATGATGATGAGGGACAATTAAGTTGTTTAACCCAGACAATCAAATCAATGAAGCTTAATAATGATAAAATTACCGATGATAATGAAATGAACACGTTGTTGTAATGAAAATCAGCAGCAGGAGGAAAACAAGAGATTCAATTGATTCAAGATGATAATCATGATAAAGACACACAGAGGATGAAGATGAGGATTGAGGAGGAGGTTGATGAGTAACCAGAAGGATGAGGGGAAAAAATCAGCTGTAAAAAAGGATGAAAAAGAGACTGAATTTGCTCAGCTGATGATGACTTTTCCACCCTGGACTTTCAGCTTAGATAATCATTGAACCATCGCCAAAACAGAGGTTGATCAAGATGATTGGGTTCAGTGAATAAAAGAGACAAGTAAACGATGAAAATCATCATCATCCAACAGAAAATGTTATTACCTTCAAAGGGAACATTTTTTTTCCTCTCCCATCCTCATCCTCATCTTCATCTTCATCATCTCGATCCTCTCTCTCTCTCTCTCTCATTGACTATTCAACTCAAAATCTAATACAATTTATCCGTTACATTGGTTGTAACCGTTTCTTGGAAGGAGTCACAACAAAACTTTACCTTTGGATTACAAATGTATTGTTTAAATTACTCAGGTCATCAACTTATTACAACCGTTGCATTGGAAACAATTAACAATCAGAATACAATTGAGTTTAAACAATCAAAAGGATCATCATGATTAAGATAATCAATTGAACATTATCATCAATTTCTTTATCGTTCCGTCTTGTATTTAGACATTTCAATCAACTCAAAACAATTTACTGATTGTTTACCTATGAGAAAATTTATTCATCTTAATTATTTCGCGTTTTTTTCTGATTACAACAATTTAACCTCGCAAATGATCAACAACAGTTTATAATCAAGGTAAATTGTTGGTTAACTCAATTATATAGTTAATCTTAATTTTTTTCTCATGGTAAATTGAAACGTAACACAATTTAAATGGTGAATTTTTAATCATCATATCTGATTACAATTTACTTTTCCAAGTGTCATCTCTAATTAACCTTATGAAAGTTAAATTGTTACTCGTTTAATTTTTACACTTTCAATTATTTTAATTGTTTTAATACTTTAACCTTAATCTAATTTAAATTACTGACTAGATTTTCAAATTTGTCCAAATAATTAACGGTCTCTAATTGATAGTTGATTGTAAATCTATGAAAAAAAAAGTAATAATAATTAAGATAAATTGTTGATTAAAAGACCACCTCAGTTGAATTAATGTTTCAATTAAAGTTAAATGAACTTTTTAATTGGTTGATTACTTGATTTGCTAATCATTTTTCCTCTTACAATTAACTAATTGTAAAATCCACCGGAAATTATTAGTCAATGAAACCTTGACCGTTACTTAATGATTACAACCAGTTAATCAATCAGATTAATATGATCAGTATTCATAATTAACTGATTGTAAGTAAAATTAAGCGGGTGATGTAAATAATTTGACTGTTAATTGTTACAATTTAAATTGATTATTTTACCTTTTCTTTGTTTTCTTTAAATGATTAAACTTTGATCGAGAACATTGGATGATGATTAAGTTTGTTTTTGGCAATTGGTTAATTGTAATCAATTTAATCAACTGTCATGAATGAAGCACACAAAATATACTTGATTAAATCATTACGATGATGTAACCTTCAACAATTAATACTATATGGTGATTGAATTAATTGTATATTATTATCAACAAATCCAAATAAGGTTGATTATTGGTTAATCAATGATATAAGATGACCTGTTGATAAACAACAATTAGTTAATCAATCAAGTTGAAACCATTTCTTTTTTGGTTATTACCAATATAACAACAACAATTAAATTGATTGTATTTGGATAATGATTAAAAATGTGTAATAATCATTATCCATTCATAAAACATTTAATTGTTGTGGTTAATTTTTCCGTTAAACTGGATTAACATGATGATAACAATCAAGGTCCACCAACATAACAATTATAATCATGATTAGTATTATATAAATCTCAACCTTTGATTACTTTTCATTTAACTAATTGTAGGTTTATGATTTAATAGTAACAATATTCAAGAGATAATTTAACAAATTTCAACCAATCAAGTGATCAAAGGGCAACAACAATTAACCAGTCCGTTGATTGTTCATTCATTATCATTTCTTAATTGTCTCCGATTCATAAATAAATATCTTCAGGATTTAATCCTCTTAATGATGATCATTAATTTGATCAAAAGTAAAAGTTGATTAACAAGACATTCAACATTAAATTGAACAGAAAAAAAAACTTGATCATCAACAATTTAAATCCAAAGTAATCAAGGTTCTTGGCCTTTAATAGTTACTTTCATTTGATCACCATCATCATCATCTTCATCTTCATCTTCATCTTCATCCTTTTACCTTTCACTTTCTCCCTCATCATCTTCATCTTCATCTTGATCATCATCTTAATCTCTCATTCCAACCTCACCTTGATTTCCCTCATAATTTCAAACTTCCTCCTTAATCATCATCTTAATCATCATCAACTTTACGATGATCACAATTATGTATCAATGGAATCACAATTTAAATTCTAGAATTAAAATTAACAGGATTAACAGATAATTAACATTGATTCATGTCTTATTATATCAGTTAATCAACTTAATCATCGTTGATCATTAAATTCATGGGAATAATAAATGTTTTTGATTCTTTGTATTTAATCACAATCTCAATGATTAAAAATATTTTCCATTAAATTAACTGAACATGCAAATTGTTGCTTAATCATTACAATTTAACATTTTTCCTATTTATTCACAATTAAACTAATTATCATCTTTTTTTTTCATTCACTCTCCTTTTTTTTCAAGTCACTCATTTACTAATTTGATTAGAGTAACAATTAAATTATTGGACGATTATATGATAATATTTAATTCTGGAATCAAATTGCGGAAATAAAAGTATTTGATTTAAGAGTAAAATTAAACCATCACAATTAACATGATGATTTATTAATAATCAATTATTTGGTCAACTAAATAATGATAGTTAATCAAATATAAGATTGATTATTTAATCATGATTACAAATGATAAACTTAATAATTACCGTTAATTATACAAAGTAAATTTTAATCATCTCTCTTATGAACAACAAATTGTTCATCATCGTGATTTAAATTAATAGTTGGAAAAAGTTTTTCTTAATCATGATTAACATCATTAACTAAATAACATAGGCTATTAATCACTTTCTCATCAATTGATCACCAACAATTTAGTTTAATCATCAATCCCTTCCGGATTATAATACTAATCATTTCACCTACTCAATTGTTAATCTATTTTGATTGTAGTCCCCCAACAATTTAACACAATCAAAGCCCCATTGATTAACTGGAAACCCGTTGTTTATTATTATGATTAATCCTTTGGGATAAATCATCATATCGCTTCCTGGTCAATCAACAATTAACTTTCAGCAATCAAAAAAAAACAAAACCAAAACTGATCAACTTTGATTGTTTCATCAAATCAATTGTAATCCAATCAATGTGACAATGACCTTAGGTCAATATAAAGCTAATCCATTGGATATGGTTAATTATGATTCTTGATTGTGATGATTAAGATATATATAAGTGTTAATCATGTTTTTCATGACAACTTCATGTCTACTGATTTAATTTATATAACCAAAGTTAATCAACAAACTGGTTAACAAAACAGTTTGAGATTTAAATTAATGATGATAATATTTTGCTATATGTTTACAACAGATAATTTCAATTGATTAACTGGATTAACCGCCTCAGGGTTAATTGTACAAATGAACAGACATGAATAGACATTAATCATTACCATTGTAAACATAAATACCCAACTGATTACTAAATCATTTTGGTAATTTAACTCTACAATCCAAGAGTAACCAGTTAATTAACCAACAATTTAATTAATTGCTTGGTCATTTTTCATGTTTACTTTTTTTTACTCATCATCATCATCATCATCATAATTAACGTGATGATCAAAAAGGGAAACCTTTTAATTGTTAATCACTAAGATGAATCTTGAGTTAATTTATCAGTTTTTAATTCTGTTCACAATTAACTTGATAATAGAAAATAAAAATTATCGTTTCTTTTTTTTTTCATTTGATTCACACAATTTGATTACTAAAATCAAAGTTAATCAACATCATGGTATCAAATTGCTTCGTGATAAATTGTTACTCCGGGAAAAATAGTAGCTCCAAGAAGATGCTAATCATTTAAGTTGATTGTTAGTGATTTAAGATGAAATTTATTCAATAGTTATCATCATCATCATCATCATCATCATTCAAGTTAATTCAATACAATTTATATAAAAATTTGATTGTTAAAAGTGAAAGTTAAGTTATAAATAGTAACTTCATTAATCTTATTCATTGTTAGATAAAAGCTTTTTTTTTCATAGGTTAATCTGAATCAGTTGATTGTCCATCATCATCAAGTTTATTGTAATCATCTTGTCATGATTTAGGAAGCTCGATAATCTGAATAACAATTTAAATTGAAATCTGAGATGAACAAGATTAAGATGATTTTTTATCCGAGGAATGGAAAATTGAGTAAATTTGTTTTTCAATCGTTGATTCGGTTAATTAATATTCAATTGGAGTGATAATTTGTATCGATTGATCAAAATTGATGTAAATTCATTTAATCCAATGAAGTAAGAAAATAAATTGTTGATCTAATCAATGTAAACAAATGAGGTAAATCATTTCTACTTGTGATTCAATGTATTCAATTATTTTGTAATCATTGATTGTTACTTGTTGCTAGTCAATCAAATGATGATGATGATGATGATTGAACATCTAGGAATTGATTGTTAACAATTTATCTTCGCAATTCAAATGACCTACAAGAGTAAAAATTTAAAAGGTGATAATCTTAATAATAGATATGTAATAATACCAGGAATTTGTGAGAGGATGAAACGAGAAAAGGGAAAACTGAATAAAGGTTAAAGATAAGAAGGTCAGATGACCGAAGGTCACGGATTTAGAACTTAGAATTTAGGATTTGGACGAAGAAGATGATAAAAGAAAGAGAAAAAGAAAGGGAAAATATGAGAAAACATTTTTTTCTCTCCTTTTCTTTCAACAGGTAAAAGAGAAATTTTTTTCTCCAGGGTTCAGGTAAATAGCTGATGAATGGTGATGATGATGATGATGATGCTAAGGGTTTCATCTGAAGACAAACAAGTATAAGATTGTTTTCTTGATAATCTCTATCATCATCAGTCTCCCTTATCATCTTGTATCGGTCATCATCATCTTCATCATCATTTACAACATGAACCAGCCTTAAGTCCAGTTTCTAGTAGCCAAAAGTTTTAATATATTTGAGGTTAACATGGAGCTGGAACTAAATTGTAGACTAACCAATGATACGGAAAAAGTTGTTAAGATGATCAAGATGATGATGATGATGATAATGATGAGGATGAGAAGTGCTAACCACAATTGTATCCATCAAAACTAAATAACTGGGTGCTCAACAATCAAGAACCAATCATTACAATTACATTTCATGTCAGTGGTTTTTTTTTACCTTCCCTTGATTACTATGTACACTTTTTCATGTAATCTTGGAACAATTTAATCACAATTAACTTTTTATTTTTCTCATAAAGTTAAATATCTAATTGGTGATTCCAATTCTGTTGATTCTGTTGCTGATCAATTTTGTTTCGTATTTGATTTATTTTAATTTGGTTTGCAGGTAATTTTTTTTGCTGTTGATTGTTTTTTCATTTTAATTGTGCCTCTTGTCGTTGATTGTTACGATTGAATTTGATTATTTTGCTATATTGTGTCTGTATATTTAATTGTTGCTGAGTTTTATTGCTTTTGTTATTTATTGATTCTGGTTATTAAACAATTTGATTGGTGAACAATTAACTTTTGCTTCTGATTTGATTAACAAATTGATTATTAACCAGGAAATATTTTAAGCTTGATTGTTGAATTGTTCAATCAATTTAACGATTTAAACTAATTCTGAACATCTTGTAATCTAAATTGATTGTAAAATTAAATAAATTAAAGGGCTAATTAATTGTAATCATAATTATCATTATGATTGAATGGATAAGGGGAAAAAGTTCAATGATTTATTAATGATTTTGTATCTTGTTTTGTTTTTAAATTGATTTTAATTGTTACCATTAAGTAAGAAAGGTAATTAAATAAATCAGACAGATTATTAATCTGTCATTATACTCAATTCAGCGAGAAGATGTTGTTAATTGTTTCAACAATTAGTCAAATTAACAAGTAAAAAAAATGGAAACAAACCTGAGATTTGATGAAAAAATTGTTCAATTGTTGATATTGGTAAAATTAATCCAGTTGATTAACATTCACAATTAACTGTTGATTTATCTTCTAGAATCAAATCACTGTCAATTATATTGATAATAATCACATAGGACAATCAGTTGATTGTTTTAGAAGCAAATAAATGATAAAAGTTTACGATTAACATGAAAATTGAAAGTAAACAATTTGCTTGGTACGTTGTAAGTGATGAAATAAATTGCTAGTTAATTGTTGTTTACAAAATGGTTAGAAAGATGATTAATAATCCATTGGACAATATGGTTATGATGTAATCACAACAATTAAATTATAAATCATTAAATTAACAGATGAACAAGTTGGTGAACGAAAATGTTGTTACTCTTGAAACAACTTTTTCACTTTTGAAAGTAACTATCATCATCTCCCTTCAATCTTATCATCATCATCTTTTTGCTCACTCACAATCTTGCTCAGAAACTTGTTATTTCATCATCATCATCATCCTCATCTTCATCTTCATCTTCATCTTCATCTTCATCTTCATCTTCATCTCACAATTTTCATCTTCTATTTGAAAAAGTTCAGAGAAATAAAAGTTTTCCATTCGCAATTTAAACCCATAGATTTGTAGGCTTAGATCTTGGGTAACCCAATTTCGTATTTTTTTTTCTTTACAATCAGTTAATTGTTTACTTTTTAAATGAGTAAATTTAATATTATCACCTCAGCAACAATTACAATTTCGTAGTTCGTATAATATTTAATCTTGATGTTTGGTTTAAAGTTACGATCTGAAGCATTTCAATTGTATGAAATTCAGTTTAGTTAAATTTACAAATTTTCGTAGTAAATTGTAACAAACTAATTCTTTAAATAGTAAATTAACAATTAATTGTCTAATAATATATTTCGGTTATGATCTTTGCTTGTAATTGAAATATTTTTCAAAAAATTGTTGATCTTTGATTGTTGTATTATCACAATTTAGCAAATATGGAATAACAATTAATTTTGTTTACTCAATATTTCAATTGATGAAAATCTGTTTTCTCAGTTAAATTTAATTTCCGATGATTTGTATCCCAGTGTTATTGGAATACTGTTAATTGTTGCTGTTAGAACCATGAATTGGATCGAGAATTAATTGTTGTTATTGGTAATTTTTGTTTCTCTATAAAACTTTTCCATTAAAATAGTGGACATTTAATCTTCTTTATCGGTTATTGGTGGAAATTAATTTGATTTTGATAGTTTTAATTGTGACTGATCATTTTCCATTAGAAAAGATTTGCTGGAATTGATCCTCCGAATAGATTCATCCATGAAATTGGTGTTTTCCAGCGATTCATTGGTTTACCAGTTTCAATTAAAGTCTATGGAAGTGAAAAGAAAACAAATTAATTAGTTGATTTAGTTGATAATTGATTATGATTAAAACAGTCTACGATGTTACCTCTTTAACTTTAATCAATTTATTAGCAGCTTCCATAATTTCAATTGCTTCAGGGGTATTATCACCTTCGGAACAGAAAATGACGAAAAAAATACCATTGATATTTTCATTTTGCCTGAAATGATTAAAAAAAAAATTAAAACAAATCAATCAAATTTGATTGAACCCAATCAATAAGAAAAGAATTAAATTAACTAACCAATGTTGAAAAAGCGATTTAGTTAATCCACTTCCAATGAGATCGGTAAGACTTGGATCATGATCTTCACTATCATCAGAATTTACTTTCAGCTCAATTAGTTTTAATTGTTCAAAAAAAGTGGTCGGGTTATTTTCCTTAAGTGATTGAGTGGCCAAGTATCGAACTGGAAGTTTAGTTTGGACATTAGGTGAACTCGACGAATTGAAAGCATCAGGTGATAAAAATTGAGAAAAACTCGAAGATAAGTGGACAGTCAATTTAAATTGTTCCTCTTTAATCCATTTTGTTAATTCCTCGACAAATTGTTTTCGACGTTGCTAATTAAATGAATATAGAGAGAGATGATGATTAATGATTATTACAAGTAAGTGACGAATTGGAATATAATCTCAATTTCCTTACCTTATAAGGTGGAGCTCGTAATTGAATGATCACCAATTTATACTCAATGGATTCGTAAACTAATAAAAAACAATTGAGGAAAATAAATATGAAAAGACAATCAAATTAACGGACAATGATAATCACAAGTCTAATCCTGATCATTGTCAAAATAATCAATGTGTTGCAAAAAAAACAATTTCCATACAAGGTTGAGTGTTATTGTTTTTGACGATGGTGGACAAGATGATGATTAACTAATTGTTAACTACCTTCACAAGTTGTCATAATTGGACAATCATCTCCGAATTGGTAAGCATTGGGACCAGAGACACTTTTAAGAGCCGTTGAAAAGATCCTTCCAACCAGTCGAGCCTTTCGCTCGTAGATCAAGGTAGTAACCAAGAGGTCGATGGCTAATTGTCCAACATTGCCGACAGATACAGCGGGCTAAAGATAATAAAAGAAAATGGAATGGTAATAAGTAAATCAAAGAAAAGATAAATTCCCAATCAAATTGAAGGTGAACCATTTCAAGAATTGGATGGAAAGTAAAATCACCATTAAGAGCGTACAGTCGTTCCAATGGCAGCCCCTGTCATTCAGTTGATTGTAAAATTGAATCGCTTTCATGGTGAATGTTGTTGATTTCAGAGATAAATGATTCCTGTAGAAAGATAAGAAATTAAAGGAAATAATTAGTAACCGTTAATCAAGAGAGAAAATGTAAACAATAACAATGATTAACCTTTAGAAATCAATGGTTTCTAAATTATTAATTTTTCTCTCTCTCTCTTAATCTAATCTAAACATCACTTGTACGAACAGAGATTTAAATGATTGTTATATCATTTCAATTGTACGTCAAGTTTTCAATTCTAACAATTAACAACATGCTTGATTTTTCTCAAGGTTTAAATTGCGAATAAAACATGATGATGTTCGGCCAAAATTATCTCTCTCTCAGGTTGACGGTCTTTTTTTCCTTCAACAATTATTGGGTGAATTTCCTCGATATTGATTGAAGAAAATGTTTTCTTTTCATCACCAATCATTCCAAGTGACAGTTAACCATTGATTGTTAATTGTTCTCCATTTTTTCACATATTATATTGTTCCATCATCACCATCACCATCATTAAAAAATTAACAACAAAGTAATCAGGTTGATGCAACAATCAACATCTCCTTTCATCATCTGCTCCTGTTAATAAACGTAACAAGTATCCAAATCGGTTCACCATTTTTTTTTAAATTCTTGTTAACCTTTCCTATTAAGGCCTATCAATCCACGTATTGAATTATTGTTATTAACTGATTGTAATCCAATAATCATCAAGAAATTAGGTAAGTTACAAAAAAAATCAATATAGAAATAGAAAGAACCAGAAAACTAACATATGATTCACTTATGGTATTGACTCATATTGAACATTTTTTGTTTACAAATGTTAAATTCACTTGTAGCAATTAATTTCTGTAACAGTAGTTAATCTTACCGGTGTTAATTGTCGTCTAGTTGATTAATTAAATTTCACAATTAAAAAGAAAACTAGAAAAAATAACAATTCGCTAAGAACAAGTGAGAGAAACAGAGAGAGTGAGAGAGTGAGTGAAGGTTTTAATCTTTGTGTCCAAGGATCGGTTGGAATCAAGGTTGGAGAGACTGGTTTCTCTTACTAACACTAAATTAAATTCACTTTTAATTTCTAATCGTTTTTTGTTGTTCTCTTTCATTATTAATTTGATCATCATCGTAACATCACCATTCTCATTAGTAACTTAAATTCCCTTACAATTAAGGGAAATAGGTGAGTATCGATTCATTTTGATTCTCAGTGTTGTTCATTTTCCAATCCAATACAATTGTTACCTTTTGCTTTATCTATAAACGTAATAACAACAATAAGAATATTTTATTTGATTGTTGATCGCAATTGGTGTTTTGTTTAGGCTTTTTTTTGAATCTATTCTTTTATCTCTGTGTTTTCTTTTGTTCTTCTTGTTCGTTGGTGATAATTTGCTAAATTTGCGTTTTTGTTCTGTTGTTTATGTTTAGGTTGACACACATCAATGTCAACCGAATCTTCATCCGTTGACTCTCCTGTTGGAGGAGATAATCTGATTACCTCTGAGACCAGAATTGAGGTTAGTTCTGAGGTTTCAACACCTTCGTCATCTACAACTCTTCAGGCTAATTCAGAGAGAGAAATGTAAGTTTCCATCATTTTTTATATCAAATTAGTACCAATTGTTTACCATAAACAAATTGTTCTCTATATGTTTGTTTACCTTTTTTTGAATTTCTTTTCTCTCTCTTTACACTTTCCATTAATTTATTGGCCTAATCTTGTCTTTTTTTGTTCTTTTCTTGCCCCTAGAAAACAATGTTGGGTTTGTTTACAGACCGAAGATGAAAAGGGCGCTGATACTGATTGGGTTCGTCCTTGCCGGTGTCGAGGTTCATCCAAATATGTTCATCAATCGTGTATTCAAATGTGGATCGATGAGAAAAAGAAGTTCAATTCAAGTGCTAAAGTGGTTTGTCCTCAGTGTCAAACCGAATATATTCTCATATTTCCTCCTTTCGGTGAGTGTTTTCTATCCTTGATTAATCACTTTCTATCGGATTTTGATCCCAATGAACTGTTTAGTCTGATTATCACAACAACAATAATTACCTTGATTCTTAAATGACGATAGCCTTGTTAATTAACATTGAAACACTCAATCCATTCATTTAGTCATTCAATTTGAATATAATGAAGGTTTAAAATTTGTATCTTAATTGTGAAAATCTAATCAAATCCTCAGGCTAAATGAGGTAAATTTAAAACCTTCAAAGGGAAACCCTTTCCGATGGAATTAATTTCTCGAATTGTGAAATTTTCTCTTCACGTTAATTAGCCCGTTAATCGTGTTTTCTATGACAATGTTAATGAAAATAATTCACTTTAATATCAAGGATAGAAAACAGAGAAATTATAATTTATAACAATTTTCTCTTTTTTCATTATTTAGATTGATTACTCAGCTGATTACACTTGTTTTCTATTCCTGGTTATGATCTAGTTAACTAATTTACTCACAAGTCAAGTTAACGATTTATAATTTATTTCCCTTTAGGTGGATTCGTTTTAATCTTGGAGCGTTATGATGGATTCTTGTTACAAGCCGCTCCATATGCTTTCGGTACAATGTTACTTGGGTCCGTTTATTGGGTGGCCTTATCTTATGGTGCGATTACCGTTCTCCAGGTAATGGGACTACAAGATGGTAAAACTACCTTGGAACAAGCCGATCCATTTACTTTATTAGCATTTCTACCAAGTATACCTTTGTTTCTGGTTCTTGGTCGATTCATTAGTTGGCAAGATCAAGTGCTCAAAGTTTGGCGTCGACATCATCGTCACATTCCGTTTATCTCGAGAATTTTGGGATCACCGCCTCCTGGAACTGCTGAAAGAGCCGAAAGAATTTTAAATCATCGCGATCTTTTCTCTCACCCTCTCTATTGGTATCGACAAGTGAGCGGAGCTTTACTCTTGCCCACAGTTTCGTCGTTCATTGGGAAATATTTATTCCCCGGTATAACCTCTAATCTACAACGAACTATGATGGTTAGTTAATTGTTGTTTCTTTTCTCTTCGCCATTTTTGTTATTAATCATCAAAAGGTCCAATTTAACTTAATCCTTTGCTTTTCTTTCTGTTTGTCAACTCTTTAGGGAGGTTTCACCTTCATTGTCGCCAAAGGATTGCTCAAGATTTATTTACGACAACAACGGTACATCCAACAATCAAATCGATCAATCCTTGATTATTTTGAAGGTTCACCTTCGTCAACATCTTCTACTGGTATTAATCACAATTCAACACAGACTGAAGTCAATGATGACCACAATTTGTATTGAAAATATATTCTTCATTAAATTTTGTAAATTTCCTGCAATTAAAATGAGAATCATTTTCTCTGCATTGTAAAACTGTTTGACGTTTTTTTCCCATAAATATATTATTGCAACCCGACAACATGGAAATGGAAAACTGTACAATTTAGTTATTCTTATAAATCAATTGTAGAGGCTTTTTCTTTATTGATTATTCAGGAATCTCGGGTACTCATTGTGTTAAAATTAGATTTTCTGGAAGGCGGCTACATCGACCGATTGAACATAATCTTCAATCTTTTCGATCTCTTCGGTTAACCAATCAATTGAAACTTTATCGTCTTCGACAACACAGACGATTTGTAGTTTCTTAAGACCATAAGCAATAGGTTGAAGTTTCGAAATACCCCAGATTAAACCATCGGTGGAGATTTTTCTGACCTCTGCTTCCATGGCTTTCATGTCGGTTTCATCGTCCCAAGGTTTAACATCTAAAATGACGTTTGATTTGGCAATGACAGTTGGTTTCTTGGCTTTTTTCTCGGCATAAGCTTTGAGACGTTCCTCTCTGACCTTGGCTGCCTCGGCGTCTTCCTCTTCACCGAAAAGATCAAGATCATCATCATCATCATCTCCACCACCAGCGGCAGCTTTTGCACCACCTTCAGCACCAAAATCAGCTAAACTTTTCTTTACACCGGGGAAAGCTTTCTTCTCAGCAGCTGAATAAGCTGAAATGTGTCGGAACCAACGAGCAACGTGGGCATATTGATCACCGGCAAGTTTACTTGAAGAAATGGCATCAGCAATAACAACATCAGAAGAAGATGGAGTATAACCATCAATGTAACTCTTAGTAGCCAAATAAGTATTAAGACTGGCAAGATTGGCAGGAGAGTTAACGTCACCGGAAAGTTTAAGAGCCATTTTAAATTAACAAAGGAAGAAGATGAAATAACCAAGAAAGAAAAAACTGTGGAGACAAAAAAAAATTAACAAAATTAAAACAAAGACTGAGAAAATCAAACACAGAAAAAGAAAATGAGAAAAGGGAAGAAAAGAAAACACCAAAAATAGATCAGAATAAAACAAGTTGAAAGTAACAATTGACAGACAAAGATTTCTATCAAAGTAAATTAGTTGACCTTAACAATCAAATTTAAATTAAAATCATTTAAATAGCAAATAACCTTACCTAATTAACGACAATGATTAACCTGATGAAGATTTTAACAAAATTTAAAAGTCGTGACAACAAATTCCGATTTCCGGGTAACTGTTTCCGGCGAAAATGAGTCGCCATCTACCGGCCAATAATTCAGAAGTTAAATCACTCACTTAATTCAAAGGAATTAATTACAATTACAATCAATTGAATTGAATTATTTGTTGATTGAAATGGTAAATAAATTATAGAATTTTGGAAATGAATCTTGTATGAGTTGAGTTGCTTTAGAAAATGTTGTTCCCAATGGACAAAATTTCGTGAATCGAAATTATTGATTTATGTCAATCAGTTGATCGTTTAATTAAAAAATTTAATTTATTTTAATTTGTTTAGAAAAAAAATTTAGTCTTAAACAGTTTGTGAATCATTTTCAATTTTAATTGAGGTGATTAAATTTCTGGTATCGCTTTTTGCATTAATTGTTGAGCCTCTTAATTAAAGTTAAATTATTTTGTTTTTTAAATTGTAACAACCTTTATATTGATTATTATTATTAAACTCTTGTATTTTTTTGATTAAATTAGTTTCATCAATTATTGGTAATTAAATTATTATAATATATATGTATATAAATGTGAATCTTATTGTGTTGTCATTAATTATTTTGTGGTTGATTGATTGAGGTTTTTTTTAAATATGATTATCTGACAATTAACTGTTGATATAAGCATCAGGAACAATAGCCTAAAAACATAATTAATGTTTCCAAGGTGATTACAATTACGTAATAATCAACAATTTATAAATTGTTTGCTTATTTTAAAGACTTTGGTAATCCTATTGATGGTAAAATTAATGTTTGACAATTAAGAGATTAGATGACAATTGAAACCAAAATTTAAAAATCCAAATCGGTGGTGATTGTTGATTGTGGTGTTAAATTATTATTATAATAATATAATATAATTGTTGACTAATTGTTCAGTTTCATTTGTCAATCCAAGTTTGCAAAGGTCAGTTAAATTGGTCATCCAGTAGCTCATTCAATAGTAATAATAATGTAATAGTAATCTAATTGTTGTTGTTGGTGCTTTGGATAATTTTCATTGAAAAGTGAACAACCCTGAAGATGATAGAGAGAAATATTGGAAATTAACTTAAATCATCAGAATCAGAAGTTAATTATCAAGGGGCTATGCTTAGTGAGCTGAGAAATTTTCCTATTCGGCAAAAGGAATGTCTTAGAACTACTCGAATCTCTTGGTTAAGGTCAGTTTGGATCATATTGCACATCGAATTATAAAGAACGAGAGGTTTATGTAGGACCAGAATATGAAACTAGAACAGAGAGAAAAAAAAGAAAACAATTTACAATTAATATTTAAAGTTTCTTTTAGAAATAATTTCAATTACCTTATTATCTGGAAGTTTGTTAATTTTAGAAAAAATTAATAATATCACAGAATTCCAACTTTCTCTATGGTTTTCAACTTCTATCGTTATAAAATAATCAACAGCCGATGGACAAATTTGAATCAATGCCTGTTCAATTTCATGGTGTTTATCTGATCTGCTTTCATCGGTGTACATTTTAAATAATATCCTAAGGGCACAAGCGATAGATTGAGACTCTTGGGAAAAAAGATTGGGCTTTGCGTTCCCATTGAAACCCGACTTCCATAATATGTTACGTTGTTCATGATTCGAATTGAAATCTTTTGCAAATCGATGCGATTCTAAGAGACAATGTCGAACTAATAGAATTAAGGTTTCCGTTGACATGGAAGAATACATTCCTAATTGTTCTTCTTGTTGGGAGAATTGGTGATGATTCTCATTTTCCTGATGAGGAACCACTAACGGTACCTTGATTGGTTGATGATGGAACATAAGATGATGATGATGATGATTTATTTATGTGATTTGTTGATATGTTTGAAGCTGCAGTTGATGTTGACTGAGGTGATGGTGATTGTCCCAATTCCCGACCAATTTCATTGATAATCTCTTTATCCTCTTTACGACTTGTTGATGGGAAAAAGACAATATTATCAACCGTTTGAATAAGTTCCTTGTGAACTCGACATTTCGTTGCAAGTGAATCAAATTTTTGTCTAATTGCCATTGGATCAGAGGGAAAGGGTTGATAGGGTGAGGAAGATGAAAAAGAGGAACTCCTATGTGTTGGTGATGAATAAGTTGCATCAATTGTATTAGTTGAATTGTGAGCTAATGATGGTCTCCAGGTTCGTAATTGCTCTGGTGTTGTTGATCGGAACATTTCATAGATACATTCGTAGGTCATTTTCCAAGTTTTATCATCAAATTTCATTCCACATGAAATGACCAAATTTTCCATACAATTTGATCCACATCGGGCAAGTTGCTCATTCTCTTGGGTGACACACCATAAAAGTTGCTGGTACAACGAATGGAGCAGGAATGGTCCTAAAACTGTATAATACTGGGTGAAAACGTCGATCACTGAGTAAAGTGCAATGTTACAGGTTGTGGTCATCCATTCAGATTTTTCGGATTCACCTTCGGACATTTTCATGTTATCAAAGATTCGGAATATTATCTTGAATAAATCGTTCCACCAGTGTTTCTGGAAACAATCACCGTATGATTTGATTATCTCAAACATTACGGTTAATGCTCGTGTACGAACATCAAGTTTACAAATGATCACAATACAAGATAATTCAAAGAGAATCGGGAACCATCCTCGAATCCAAACTTTATCCGTTTCATTGATCATATTGGCGGACGAAGGTCCATCCGGATTATTTGCTTGATTTGTTTGATCCATGACAAAGTCTCTAAATCTTTGAGGTTGATCAGCGACATATTTTGCACAGGTTCTTATTAATCTGATTGCTTCCATACTTGTATCGGGATATTTTTGATTACAGGCAAATTCGGAAAGGCACTTAACTGCATCTTGGAATGAATCGATCATCAAGTGGAAATTGTTCTCGTAGTGAACATTAATTATGTGAGAAGTTGTTTGGAAAGAGAGTTCAACAATAGATCCATCAGCTTCGGTTGCCGATAAACGGAAAATACTGAAAATATTTTTCCAACCAGATTTAATGTTCTTTGCTTGGGAGCTAACCATTTGACCGATACATCGGACAACCATGTCTCGAATAGCTGGACTTTCGTTATATTTCATAATGTGCTCAAAGGGACGAAGGAAATCTTTCTGAAAACGGAAATTGGCAAATTCACCCTTCTCGATAAATTTCATTGATAATTGACGGAGAGAGTCGAGAGCGAAAAATCCGACCTCTTCATTGCCCGAACAACCGACTTTGTTGAAATGGTTACCCAACACTTCCCATATTCGAGACCATTGAAGCCTAATACGACCCATATTGTAATAAGATATTTCGACCAATTTTTGTAAACTGAACATTCTTGGATGAGATCCCGAAGTTAATTCCTCCATGGATACCTGACACAACGCTTTAACAAAATCAACAATTGCATCTCCATCAAGTCTAGTTGAACCTATTAAGAAAAATTGAGAAAAAAGAAACAGGAAGTTGTAAAAAAATCCATTAGTTATAATGATGGTAATTGAATGATGAAAGATTCAATTTCTTTCATTTAATGATGATAGTTTTCTACTGATTGTTTTTTTTTGTTTACCTGTGAAAATCCTATCAACAGCAACGACAACACTTTGTGAACTTGTTTCATTTAAAAGTTGATCTTCTTTCCTGTGCGAGGTGTTAGTGGTTCGAGAAAGTGAGTCAACGGAAAAAAGAGCAATTCCTTCAAATCGAGATTGAAGTAATGATACATTGGTAAAATGGGCATTCGATGATGTATTTAATAGGGAAGGTTTAACACCGGTACCAATTAATTGGGCCAATTCAAGTTGTGAGATACATCTGAGTATCTCGAGCCAAGATTTACCCAGATAATTACCATCGGTATGAGCTACAGCAATTAGGGTTTTAATGGTGTCGATGTTTTTAGTTTTCATCTCGGTGTGACTTGAGGTTGTTGTTAACAGGGTAAATCGAGCCAAAGCTTGAACGTAAGCATCTCTTTCCAATTCCATGTGAAAGATACACGCAATCCTAATGGCACAGCGAATACCCTCAAGGCACAATGAGGCAATTTCTGTATCATCACAATCTTGTAGACCAACACTAAAAGTAGCCAGAAAGGGAGTCCATGCAATCTTGAACATTGGCCTAACGTGTTCAAGATGTTTAGCCGAAGTGAAAGAAGCTTCAACATGAGCAACACTTTCCATTAAAACTCGAGCCGTTGAAACCATTTGTTCAATTTCCATGTCATAAAGTAAACGTCGTTTCTTTGGATTGGTTACCTCTTTGTTAAGTTTCCACTTGACTCCATGATCACCTTTCATTTTAATCTCACTCTCGGCAATTTCATCGTAAATCTGGGAAAGATATTCTTCCGGTAAATCTTTACTATCATTGATACCACGGTTCATCCTTATGTACTGCTCTTTGGTCATTTTATTTTTAACCTGAGCACTGTGAAGATCAGTGGTCAGTATGATGATTGAATAGGCAAGTACGTAGGCAGTATCAGCACTTGCAAAGAGAGAATTGTTTGGATTACATTCACAATAACGGGAGGCAAATTTTTCCATCAGTCTATCAATTTTCTGAGCTTCACCAGGTAACCTGAAACCTTCTAGAAATAAACGTAAAGCTGAGACGATATCACGATCACTGAAATCCGTTTGATCAACATAAGCGTACATCACTTCCTTGTTATGTGAATCATTATCTCCAAGATACTCGCCGATCTGTGTTTTATCTAGACGATCATTGGAACGGAAAAATTCAGCTATATCCCAGGCCGTTTTACCAAGGTAACCATGTTCTTGAAGGAAAGCGAGACCTCGTCTAGGTTTACGATTGAAAAGGTCAATTCCTTGTTCAATTATATTCTTTTGCTGTTTAACAACCTCAAATCTTTCCAAATTATCATAATCAGTTCGTAAACCAAGTGATGAATCATTGATGGAGGAAATTGAATGACCATTATCATGATCATTAACATTTTCTTTCGATTGATTTTGATTAAGATTAGCCATTTGATGTGGATTAACATAAAGATCTTTACTCCATTCAGCCATACATTTGAGAATGGAAACCAAACACTCTAAACCTTTGATTCTCAT